CCTAGTTAGTTACTTTACAGATTTGGATTATTGATGTGAAATCTAAGTGTTAAATCAGACTTTAGTTCCACCTGGAGTAAATTCACAAGCTACCCTGCAGTATACAAAGTCTTTCAAACTAGCTGCACCTTCACCAGCTTTGATAACACTTTCATGATCAATCATTATAATCAAAACATGCAATATATATTATTCTGAAATGTACTATAAGTCCTTCTACCTTTGGTACTTTATTAAGTTTATATCGATCTAATACTTTTCTACTTTTACTTGAGTAACATTTTGAATGCAGGACTTTTACTTGTAACAGAGTATTCACTCTGGTACTTCTACTTTTAATCAAGTACAACATATTGAGTACTTCTCCCACCTCTGTACACAAGTTTCCCTAAAATGTGTTTTAATTTTTAATAACTGGTCTCAAAATGGTTTGAAAAATATGAACATTTCTCTTTTTTGCTTCCATTAATCGTCTCATGGCCTCTTCAATTTATATTGTGACCCCTTGCAGAGGGCCAAACCACTGTTTGGAGACCACTGGATAGAGCTATGTTACTTAATCTAAAGTGCATACCAGCTACATTTAATAGAAAAAAAATAATTTATAGAAATATATCAGTTACAGAGGTCCACTTTCCGAAGAATGAGTACCTCAACTGTCATACAGTATGTAGGAGTTTTTAACAGTGTTGTATTTGTACTTTTGTTTAAGTAAAATATCTAAATACTTCTTCCAACATGGATAGAGTCAAGGATAAGATATGAATCCCAAAATGTATTAAAACAAAAACCACGAAAAGGCACATTTATTCACATGTTATAGCAAATCACTATAGGAAATAGAATATTGCAACTTTCCCTGAGCTGATATTGAACATTTTGTACTCCTCAAAAATAGAATTGTGTGACTTGACTGGTAAGGCAGCATGCATTAAATGAATATTTATGTTATCTAGTTTGTGTCTTATTTATTTTAAAGCTCTTCTGCAGGCAAAAGACAGGGAAATAATGAGAGAGAACATGAGTCAGAAAAGTATTTCACTTGATTGTTGGTAGTCACATTATTTCTTAAGGGCCCATGTCATGCTTTTCCGGTGATTACCCGTCCCCTTGTGTGTTATGAAGGTTTTTATGTAAACGTTTTTATGTAAACGGTCTGCAGAGTCACAAACCCTCAAAGTACACCCTGTAGCGAGTAAAACTCTAACACAGAGAAGACCTGTCTATGCTGCCCCAGAACGCCTCGTTGGACATTTCTCATTTTCCGTTGTTTTCTTCCTGGGTTCTGTGACGTGTGAACACCCAGATCAACAACAAATGACCGGATTGGCCCAAATGGACCAATCCGCGGAGCACCTCACACACCAGGATCTCTTGGCTAACTAACAGGGAGTCCCATTGACTTGCATAGAGCTCCCTGAACGCTGGTAATAGACGAGTTGGGATGGAGAAATGCTCTCCGCAGACCCATTCTCACAGCGTTATAAACCTTTTTCTTACTCAATATCAAGCCACACTTATTGTTTTTACTTCGGCTGTGAGTGTTTGTGTGTGCTCAGGATGAGTTTCACTGTGTCTCGCTGTATCGCCGACCCGCTCCTCGCAGCAGTGAGCCTTGCAACGTCCCGACCAATCAGAGGGGGGGGGGCAGGAGCTCCAGCAAGCCGTTTAGGACAGAGAGTGAATACACATACTATACAGAGATGCTGTATGAGAAACCAATGTGAGTTTGGAAAATTGCACAATTTAAATCTACTCTAGTAGACCTCAACAATGGAATTATGATCAGTAGAAATGGCCATGACATGGGACCTTTAACAAAGAGGGCGTAACACAAAAACGTACGCTAGCTATTCAATAAGTTAGTACTGTTCCGACAAAGGCATTGAGCCAAATTAGGATAAGTACGAGACATTCCCTTCTGTCCTAATCACATACCTGGTCTAAGAACAGACTAAGATGCACACTTTAAATGAGGTAATCTGCATTTTGTGGCACAATGACGTCTGAGATTTTAAAAGATGCGTGACCGACAGATATCCAGATGTCTGTCTTTCAAAGGTGTACGGACTGGTCGGTGACATGCTGTGCTGCCCTGTCAGGTTCACCCTTCTGAGGCCGGTATATAAGATTCCACGCTTAACTGTTAAATCCATCACTTCACTGCCGCCTCTTTATCCTGGGACAATAAGGTAAGACAATCCACTTTAAAGTGATTGTAGTGATGCAGGTATAGAAATAATGCAAATATGCAGCTCAAAACCTATCCCCATCGTTTAAATGTATATTAAATCCCATTGTATCCACTGAGAAAAACTGAAACGTTGACTTAAATTAATCTATTATGTTGACAGATTTCATATAACTGAATTAGGTTAGCAATGAAAGTGAAAGCAATAATATTACGTTTCAATACAAATATTTGGTTCAACTTAATATTATTGCTTTCAACTAACCTAATACAGTTACATGAAATGTGTTGACGTAATACATTTCATTTATGTCAATGTTTGAGTTTTTCAGTGTGTTTATTGATTGGGAAACTAAATGACGTGTGAAGTTTGTATTTCATTTATTTATATTTTATTTAAATGTTATTTTAGAATTGATTGTCATTCAGGTGAAGGGTTGTGTGACTCCCCAAAGATGTTCAGGACATTTTGCAACTTGTGGATTTGGGAAATCTTACAAAAAAATAAGTAGTTGAACTCCAACCTACGGACATTTTCATATTCTATAGAGTGCTTATCTTGTTTTGGAACGTTAAAGATATTATACTGCATTATACTTGACTGTATGCACTTCCCTTTCCTTGACCACTTTTTCTTTCCTAGAAACTTCAACAGCTTTACATTTTGTGTCATTCCCAGTAATGTAATACTGCACCTGCTTATTGGAATCAAGTTTTGGAAATAACACTTTGAAATGTACAAATTATAAGTTCACAATCTATGTCACTGTTCTCTCAGATTTAAAATAGTCAAAATAAAAATATTTTACGGGATGAACTTTACCAAATATATGATGTCTTAATATGTATTTACATCCCCTCAAAGCCTCTATTGCCGAAGCGGGGAGCTGTGGTCTCAAGGTCCTAGGTGCCTCAAGGGGCGGTAACCCTCGAACCTCCTGGTGGACACCGGTGGACACCGGTGGTAGGTACCGACAGGCCCGAAGGGCAGCAGCTTCATCCGTGGCCGAGGCAAAGCAGCGGGTGTGGGAGAAGTTCGGAGAAGACATGGAGAAGGACTTTCGGGCGGCACCAAAGTTGTTCTGGAAAACTGTCCGACACCTCAGGAGGGGGAAGCAGGGAACCATCCAAGCTGTGTACAGTAAGGATGGGACGTTGTTGACCTCAACTGATGGAGTGTTAGGGCGTTGGAAGGAACACTTTGAGGAACTCCTGAACCTGACAACTCCGCCCTCTATGTTAGAGGCAGAGCTGGAGTATGACGGGGGATTAACACCAATCTCCCGGGGGGAAGTCACTGAGGTCGTCAAACAACTCCACAGTGGCAAAGCCCCGGGGGTGGATGAGATCCGCCCGGAAATGCTGAAGGCTCTGGGTGTTGAGGGACTGTCATGGTTGACACGTCTCATCAACGTTGCGTGGTAGTCGGAAACAGTACCAAAGGAGTGGCAGACCGGGGTGGTGGTTCCCCTTTTTAAAAAGGGGGATCAGAGGGTGTGTGCCAATTACAGAGGCATCACACTACTCAGCCTCCCCGGGAAAGTTTACTCTAAGGTACTCGAAAGGAGGGTCAGGCCGATTGTCGAACCTCAGATTGAGGAGGAACAATGCGGATTCCGTCCTGGTCGTGGAACGACGGATCAGCTTTTTACTCTCGCAAGGATCCTGGAGGGGGCCTGGGAGTACGCTTATCCGGTCTACATGTGTTTTGTAGACTTGGAGAAGGCGTATGACCGAGTTCCCAGGGAGTTACTGTGGGAGGTGCTGCAGGAGTATGGGGTGAGGGGGTCTCTACTCAGGGCCATCCAATATCTGTACTCCCAAAGCGAGAGCTGTGTCCGGGTCCTCTGCAGTAAGTCGGACCCATTTCCGGTGAGGGTTGGCCTCCGCCAGGGCTGCGCTTTGTCACCAATCCTGTTTGTAATATACATGGATCGGATTTCGAGGCGTAGTCATGGGGGAGGGGGTCTGCAGTTCGGTGGTCTAAGGATTGCACCACTGCTTTTTGCAGATGATGTGGTTCTAATGGCTTCATCGGTCTGCGACCTTCAGCACTCACTGGATCGGTTCGCAACCGAGTGTGAAGCGGCTGGGATGAGGATCAGCACCTCCAAATCTGAGGCCATGGTTCTCAGCAGGAAACCGATGGACTGTCCACTCCAAGTAGGGAATGAGTCCTTACCCCAAGTGAAGGAGTTCAAGTATCTCGGGGTCTTGTTCTCGAGTGAAGGAACAATGGAGCGTGAGATGGGCCGGAGAATCGGAGCAGCGGGAGCGGTACTGCAGTAGCTTTACCGCACCGTTGTGACGAAAAGGGAGCTGAGCCAGAAGGCAAAGCTCTCTGTCTTCCGGGCCATTTTCGTTCCTACCCTCACCTATGGTCATGAAGGATGGGTCATGACCGAAAGAACGAGATCGCGGATACAAGCGGCCGAGATGGGTTTTCTCCGCAGGGTGGCTGGTGTCTCCCTTAGGGATAAGGTGAGAAGTTCGGTCATCAGGGAGGGACTCGGAGTTGAGCCGCTCCTCCTTCGCGTCGAAAGGAGCCAGTTGAGGTGGTTCGGGCACCTAGTTAGGATGCCACCTGGGCGCCTCCCTAGGGAGGTGTTCCAGGCACGTCCAACTGGGAAGAGACCAAGGGGTAGACCTAGGACCAGGTGGAGGGATTATATCTCTTCGCTGGCCTGGGAGCGCCTTGGGATCCCCCAGTCAGAGCTGGTTGATGTCGCCAGGGAAAAGAAAGTTTGGGGCTCTCTGCTGGAACTGCTACCCCCGCGACCCGACCACGGATAAGCGGGAGAAGATGGATGGATGGATCCCCATAATAGGGTGGAAAAAGGTTGTCTAAATAAATATATCCACAAAACATTAAAATAGTCTGAACAGAGTTTAACATCTCTAATGAGGACCTGAAGTACTGTAGTAAGAGGTAAAGGACAGAACATGACAGCATTTTTACAGGCCCTACATGGATTTCACCACATTGTTATCAATTTCTTACTAGAAGCTGAAATCATGTCTAAAAAGATGGTTGTGACCCAGCCCAGGCCCTACATCATGAACAGTGGATCTGGCCAGTGGACCTCTGACATCTGTGACTGCTTGGACGACCTGCCTCAATGTGAGTGCAGTTTGTCAGATACAATGGGTCAACCTATTCTTAAACTGCTTTGAAAAATATTCAGACTTGTTCCCGCAACAGTAGGCCTATAACATAAAGAAACTTAAATGTTCCAAAAACGTGTTTTGATTTGACCTCAGTGACTAAGAGAACATTGAAATGTGCACGTCACACCTTTGAGCATTATGTAATTTCTTTTTTTTAGGTTGTCTCACCTTTTGGTGTTTACCCTGCTTCGAATGTAAGACAGCACATGAGGCCGGGGAGTGTGTATGTTTACCTCTGCTGGACGGTTTTGGATTGATCCCTCCTATAGGCACCTCCCTCAGAGTGTCAATACGTCAACGATATGGCATTGAGGTACACACGCTATGCTAATCTTTTTACTATTCCAACTTCAATGGCATCGGCAATTTTAAGCACACTGTAGTGATGTGAGTCACTGCTTATATGATTACCGATCATTCTTTAACATACTTTGCTATTTGAATGTTTAATTGTGTTTGATCAATAGCTGTGCAATGCAAATCCCATTACAAGTCCAGTCTTGCAAGCTGTTCAGCAAAAATACAGACACCTGGTTCCCAAAAAAGGCATAGCTCTCAAACTATTAATCAGTGCAGTGTTTTGATGCCAATAACCATAAGTGGAATTATGTCAACAAACCAGCATTTAAAGGGTTAAAATGCTATAAAAATGTACAGTATGGATATTTCGGAAGTGCAGGGCAAAGTTGGTTTAAGATTTAATGGAAAATTGGAAATTAACAATATATAGTGTCAGATTTCACACAGACGTTTTAGTACTTTCTTTTTAAGGGATGCATAAAGGTTAGAGTTAGTATCTGGAAAGATATTTACTGGTAGCTGTAGTGTCCTGGAAATAAATATCGGACCCTAAAATCAATTGTTCCCCCCCCCCCTTTATCTTCCCGCCCCTAACTGTGTCTGTGTTCACAGGGTACCATCTGCAATGACTGTGTGTACGCCTGCTGCTGCGGGCCCTGCAGCTGGTGTCAAATTGCACGAGAGATCAAAACCAGGGCGAATCCCATCACCTTCGTCAGTATGGCGTCCTAAGCAACACAACAAAATGCCTCTGCGGAATGTCACTTAGCAACTGATTAAAGATTTGCACCTGAAAGCCATAAATGTTGCACAACTTAACGACAGAGAGGAGAGATAAGCAGACACTTGGCCTCACTGACAGATATTAAAGACAACCAGCAAGTGATTTGTAGAAGTGAACCAATAATTATTCTGGTTACATTTAGGAGAGTTACTATTGCTTTTGATTTAGCAGAAATCTACATTTTTATTGTACCACTGTTTTCGAACCATTTTCAAGATATGTATTGTGTACGTTCAATTTTGAATGTTAAATATTGGCACATGTTCACTTTTGTTGAAAAGATGTTCAGTGAATTTTAAGTTTGCAACTGACTTGGATGGATCTATGGCAATTTGTTTTACTTTTGTTCAAAACTATGGTCTAAACCAGGGGTCACCAATCTTTTTTAGGATGAGGGCTACTTTCAAAAAATAAAACAAGACGAGGGCTGCTTTTACTCCTCTTTTTTTGTTTTTTTGCAGTGTATATATTTAGCACATTTTAACATTATTATATGCTGACCTTTAACCTTTGTATGCTGTTTGGGTCTGTGGGACCCGTTTTCAGTGTTTACTAAAAGAACATGTATTCAATTTAATTAATTTAACCTGCTTTATTTGGGGGTGGACCTCACCTGCTCTAGGGGGGTCCGGGGGCATGCATGATACATACATTTGGTACACACAAAATCCTCCTGATTAGAATTGTAATATATGTTGTGATCCCCTGACATTTAAATCAATATTTTGTAGTTCGTCTAACAACTTGGTTTATAATTAAATATTTGCAAAATGAATGACATTGCTGCCAACCGAAGCTATGGTGCTAATTAGCGTATGTTAGCACGCTAACATGCTAAACTGAAATGGAAAACATTAGCTGGTTAAAGTCAGCCTTGTGACAGCATTGGCACTGAGCACGTTGATGTTAGCATTTAGCTCAAAGTTCACTTACATTGTAGTTATATTGTAGAATATATTGTAATTTGCAGTTTAAGTTTTCATAGTTATAGCTACTGTAAATGCATTCATAATTCTTTATTACACATGCTTCGTATTTGAATTATGTCAAAGTTTTGCATGATATGTGAGTTTTCTTGAAGCGTGCAATAAAACTCTGTTTAAAGTTCAGTTGTGAGTCTGTGTGCTCTATCCAATGCAAACCATGCCTTGGAGTTGTGCCAACATCAGGTAAGTGCATATCAAAATATTATTTAAATAAAACCAATATTGTAACAGAGACCATTGCAAAACAATAGGCCTGTATATGAAGAGGATTATAGATGGAATCCAACCCTGTCTCCTCAAAATTACGTTCCCACAGAACTCATGCATTCTCGATTACGTTTAGCTAGAAACGTATTTCCTCCCACATTACGTTTGTTTTGGACGTAACTCAAATACGTTTATTTTCTACCTATATTTGCTTCCGAAAAAACTATTTGTTTCTCCGAATCGAAGGGGAAAACACAAAAGCATTGTACACAATTTAAACAAATCAATGTTGTGTAATTAACAAGGATAATCTGGTGTGTTTGAGTTGATGAGTAGTGCAGATATCACTTTAAAATCAATCGACATTAGAGAGAATATTTACTTCCGGGTGTAACATCCTAAAGCAACTACTGTGGCCAGAAAACGTGAGATCGTAACATTATTTTCTCTTTGTATAAACGTATAGTATCCTAATAATAATAATAATAACAATAAAGGCCAGCAAGATTGTTCGAACTGTAGGAAAGCAAGACAATAAATGGCAAATATATGTAGAAAATAAACGTATTTGAGTTACGTCCAAAACAAACGTAATGTGGGAGAAAATACGTTTTTAGCTAAATGTAATCGAGAATGCAATTTAGTTCTGTGGGAACGTAATTTTGAGGAGACAGGGTTGATGGAATGATATGCATGCATGAGTTTGCTAGTTGTTTGATTTATGGTGATGCTAAGCGGGTGAGTAAATGGCATGTCATGAGGATTGAAATGAGCCGTATCATGACGCAGAACAATTGAAGGAAGGAAAGGTTTTGAACCAGCAATCGTTCCAGGAGCTTTGTTCTGATATGTGGGCTTGGGGTCAACCTTGAAAGGTGCAATGAATGTAAAAAGACTCCCGTGAGAAAACAACTTTAGTAATGAGTGTTTTATATTCTCAGGCCTTCTTATTTTGTAAACACGTGTTGATAGCAACCACTCAATTTCTACAGTTACGGCCAAAAGCCAGTTTTTTTTAGGTCACAGTGACCTTGATTGTTGATCTTTTACAACCAACATTAAACATTTCAAAACGGTAAACCTTTATGCACATTATCAAATCAGATTTAATAACTGTCAATAAAGTTTGAGGGTTGTGGGTTGCCCTTTTTCAGTGTGCAATAATAATTAGAACGATTTGAAGTGAAGTGAAGTCTTGTTTTTTGTACGATACTGCCCTCGCTATATGTAATCTTCCCAACTATAAAGGAGCTGTTACTGCTTCTTAGATAAGACCAGTTGTAATTATAAACCCATTTGAACCTTTGATATATGCTGTGGGCCAGATGGTGTTTGTCCCAGTTTGCACCTCTATCGCAACAAATTCCAGGTGATATTGGCCTGCGAAAAATGTAATTATTGCGGCAAGATGCACATTATTGCTGCCTATTTTCCGCAATACGTCTGCTTGTCTTCACCTCGGCTGTTACCTCGAGGAGATTGTTTCCTGGCTCAGGTTTGTATAAGTCCACAGGGGCAGAGGAGTGGAGGGAAAGGCTGCAACTCGCTGATATGACTGTTGAATAGTGACTCGTGCTGTTATTGTAATCACCAGTGCTTACTTTATTTTCCCTCCGCTGCCTGACCTTGCTGCTTCCTCCTTCCCTCGTTCCCTGCCACTCCCGTCGACTCACACACACTTTTTTCCCTTTTTTTCTCCAAAGCTGCCTCAACAATCAGATTGAAAACGCTGTGCATTTAACTAACTGTTTACCCTTTTAACAGGCTGTCTACGTTTTTGATGTGAAGAATAAAACAGGAACATGAAACATTAGACAAATGCTGGATAACTCAAATAACAAAGTGAAGTTATATGCAATATCCTTCTTGTTTATATCATACTACACCTTCGGCCAGCCCGGAGAGAAAACTCTGCATGGCTTTGCTAAATGCTAGGTCAATAGCAAACAAGACGTTCCTGTTAAACGACTTATTCACCTCTCATGATCTGGATTTAATGTTCCTTACGGAGACCTGGGTCCACACCGGCGAGTATGTACCGTTTTCTGAACTTCTTCCTCCCGACTGTACTTTCTTCAGCTCCCCCGTACCACCGGCCGTGGTGGGGGTATAGAGAACCACAGTGACGCGTCCTAAAACCCGGAAGTAAGTTAGCATTTTTACCACGTCCGGTTCCTTCGATAAAAAGCAGTGCAATTTCTCCATAGGATTTTGGAAAATAGTTCCAAATAAGGTCTGTGTTTGAACACAAATTGAAGAGACGGATCACGTTTTGTTCTACGACATTAAATACATCAGCAGTGACCCCGCTGGTGATTTTTGAAGACTTTACGTGTCTGAAAAACGATGGTTGTTAACAAGTGGCTGAATAGGACTACAGAAGTTGTCCAGGCCGTTTTACGTCATCACCGAACACGTAAAACACTCCCGCGAAGTTTGTTTGCCCTGTTCTGCTTGAAAGCAAGTACCTGCCTCCTGCAAACTGTTCAAACAAACACTTCAACTTGTACCATTTACAATCTGTATGTTTGAATATGGATCTTAAGTTGGCGTGACGTTGAAGCAGCGACCCTGCTGTAGTTCGTTTATAGCATAACGTTAGCATTTTGCTTCTTGCGACTAGATTTATGCTTCGAAAATGATAAAAGTAGGATAGACATGTGGATATTATCCGGCTGAACAAAACGTGATCCGTCTCTTAAATGTGTGTCAACCACAGACCTTATTTCGAGCTATTTTCCAAAATCCTATGGAGAAATTGCATTGGTTTTTGACGAAGGAACCGGAAGGAGTTTACATCCGGGTTTTAGGACGCGTCACTGCGGTTCTCTATAGCTTCAGTGTTTAGAGCTAATCTCCAATGCCGTTTGGGCTTCACCCAGTAACTAGCTATGCTAGCTTCGAGTTGGAGCTTTTTGAATTGAATCCAGCCTCGCCTATACTATGCGCAGTCGTGTATCGTCCGTGAAAGTATAATAATGATTTCATAACTGACTTTTCTGACTTTCTGTCCGGGATCATGGTGAAATATGATCGTGTTTTGATCTGCGGAGACTTTAATGTCCATGTGTGCTGCGAGTCTAAACCTCTGGTTAGGGATTTTTTAAATCTTCTCGACTCTTTCGGTCTCATTCAGTCTGTGGCTGGTCCAACGCACGATAAAGGACACACCTTAGATTTAGTATTATCGTTTGGATTGTCTATCTCTGTGGATGAAATATGTGCAGGAACGCGTATCTCAGACCATTTCCCGGTTCTGTTTACAACCTCGATCCCTTCTGTAGGAGTCGAATCACGTGCTCCTGCGCTTTGTCTGCGTTCAATTAACCCCTTGACTGCCTCACAGTTTTCAGATGCTTTTAATACTTATCCGATTTGTAAATTAGAGGTGAACTGTGCTTTTAGTGCGGATGAGCTTATGTCTTTGTTTGATTCGACATGCACACTAATACTGGATTCCGTTGCTCCTTTTACGCTTAGACGCAACAAAGTTCTCTTAGAGCCGTGGCTCAATGATTGTACTCGCGCTTTTAGACGCGCTTGCAGGCGTGCAGAGAGAAAATGGAGAAAGGATAAACTTCATGTCTCCTTAGAAATTCTTCGTGCTTGCCTTTCCGATTATCAGACGGCAGTCAAAGCAGCCAAAACACAGCACATTTCTCTGTTAATCTCCAAAAACAGCCATAAATCTCAAGTTATTTTTAATGTCCTTAACTTGATCATTAATCCTTGTGATGCTTCTCCAATTGTGCCATCAACTACTCTCTGCGATACATTTCTTAACATTTTTATCGAAAAAGTATCTGCTCTTAGGCTAGCCTATACTAGTGCTACCCCAGATCCTGCTCCCTTTCTGTGCCCTGCTGTCCTCAACCATTTTGAGCCTGTATCCCTCTCTTCTCTCTCGAAAGTAGTCAAGCACCTGCGGCCGAAAAACTGCACCTTAGACAGCATTCCCTCTCGCTTCCTTAGAGATGTTTTTGAATCAGTTGGAGCAAGTGTTTTATTGCTTGTAAACACTTCTCTTAGCTCAGGATGTGTCCCAGCTGCCTTCAAACATGCCGTGGTTAAGCCACTACTTAAAAAGAAAAATCTCGATCCCTCCATTCTCGCAAATTTCAGGCCCATCTCCCAGCTACCCTTTTTATCTAAAGCCCTGGAGCGAGTAGTCTACGCCCAGCTGCAATAATTTTTAACCACGCATGGCATCCATGAAAAATGTCAGTCTGGCTTTAAACCTATGCATAGTACTGAAACAGCCCTTTTAAGAGTTTGTAATGATCTGCTCTTAGCCGCCGACTCAGGCAGCCCAGCTGTCTTGGTGCTGTTAGATTTAACTGCTGCCTTTGACACTGTGGATCATAGTATCCTGTTGTCACGGCTTGAACAGTCCGCAGGCATTACAGGCTCTGCCCTTGCACGGTTCAGGTCTTATTTGACGGACCGTAGCTTCTCAGTGTAGTTAGGTGCTTTTTCCACTGCCAAAGCCCCTCTTACCTGTGGGGTTCCCCAAGGCTCGATTCTGGGCCCCATCCTTTTTCTATTGTACATACTGCCCCTAGGTTCAATTCTCACAAAACATAATATCCCCTTCCATTGTTACGCTGATGATGTACAGATTTATCTGCCTCTCAATCAAAATGCCAACTCACTACAGCAGTTGAAGGACTGCTTAATGGAGATAAAATCCTGGCTGAGCCAAAACTTCCTCACCCTTAATGAGAGCAAGACCAAGGTCATCTTTTTTGGACCCCAACCAACAGTCTCCCCGGTTGATATTCTGGGCTCCCTCAATACAAATATCCTCCCCTCTGTCATGAACCTTGGAGTGACCTTCTACAGCGCCTTTAAATTTGATAAGCAGGTTAGCACTGTAGTCAAGACCCGCTTTTTCAAAATACGACTATTGGCTAAGACCAAGTCGTTTTTATCTTTTAAAGACCTAGAAAGGGTTATTAACGCCTTTGTTACCTCGAGACTGGATTACTGCAATGCTCTGTATGTGGGTATGGACCAGGCCTGAATTAGACGATTCCAGCTAGTTCAGAATGCAGCTGCACGTCTTCTCACTGGCCATAAAAAGTGCGACCATATCACCCCAATTCTGGCTTCATTGCACTGTTTTCCAGTTCGGTTCAGAATAGATTTTAAACTCCTTTTATTTGTTTTCAAAGCCCTAAATGGGCTGGCTCCTGCCTATATAGCCGAACTCCTTCATCGCTACATCCCAGGCAGAGCCTTAAGGTCGGCTGATCAGCTGCTGTTGATAGTGCCTAAGACCAGGCTTAAACCCGAGGGCATCGAGCTTTCGCAGCGGCTGGCCCTAGGCTCTGGAATACTTTGCCCCTCCATGTGAGGTCGGCCCAGACCCTGGGGGTTTTTAAATCAACACTTAAAACTCACTTTTTCTCTCTGGCTTTTGTTTAATTATTTATTTATTCATTTATTTAGTTATTTATTCATTTAGTTCTTTATCTTAATATTTATAACATAACATAGGATTTCATAAAGTATTTTAAAAATAGTTTATACATTATTCGAATATAGGAATAGTAGATAGGATTACTTAAAATATAGTACCTTATATTTCATCTTTTTTCCCTTTAGACCCTTGCGGTTTATTCTTAAAAACCCTTACCCTTACCCACCCCCCATTTTCCCTCTGCTGGTCTATGGCCTTGTAAAGGGTAACGGGGTACAGAGTCGCTTAGATAAGCGGGGGAGTGCATCTGACGAAGAGATTGTTGTGCTCCCTATCTCTGTTTCTTATCTATATCTAATAGAACTGCTCGGGTCTTGATAGATTGAGTGGGGAAGTTCATGAGATCTTTCTAGAGGGTTATCAAGAATAACTTTTATCCAATGACCTTTTCCCTCTCTGTCTGTGTCTGTGTATTCTCTTGTTCCGATTAACCCAGCCAAATCTTTTGTTTTGTTTTGTATCTATATCTACGCCGGGATCCGGAGTCGAGGCTGATCCTCTTGCTGTAGTCCTGTGTCTTGGATCCTCTATCCTGAGTTCTGGATTAAGTCGTGGACTTCGGGTCGTGGCTGAACCTGTCTCTGCGGTCCTGCCTTGGGTCTCGTCATGCTGCTTCCCTGAAGGCTTCCACAGGATTGAAGCTGACATCCTCGTGGATTCATCTTCTTATTACAGACACATGCATTTCCTAACATTCGGTCTATATGCTGTAAAATGTATTATCTCTTCGATTTACACACGGCATCTATTGCACGTCTGTCCGTCCTGGGAGAGGGATCCCTCCTCTGTTGCTCTCCCTGAGGTTTCTCCCATTTTTTCCCCTTAAACTGTGGGTTTTCTCCGGAAGTTTTTCCTTGTACGATGTGACTGTCTAAGGATAGAGGGTGTCGTTTTTCTCATACTGATATTCTGCACAATCTGTGCTGTTGCATTTGCTGTAAAGTGTCTCTACTGTAGGCTATTTTTATTATATGTACAGCACTTTGGCTCGACCAAAATCGTTTATGAATGTGCTATATAAATAAAACTTGATTTGATGCTTTTATGTCATCCACAATGCACAGTGTTACGCCCAGTTCTAGGGGAACCTAGGCGCAGCATAAAATGTGCCCTCTCTCCTCTTTTCCCACTCCCAAGAACATAGACAATGAGACAGTGAATGTCTTTTGGTAAATTTAATTACCAAAGTTTTCTTTTTAAGTGCAACAACCCACAAAAACAAACAAATCTCTGAACACAAAAATCTTGCCTAACAAATAAGAAAATAAACATACAGGACTCTTACCTACACTGACGTAAAAACAGGAGAAAACGAGAACCAACCAAAAGAAAAAGGGTTTCACACTTTCACGTAGATTTAAGGCGTGTCCAACAAGGACAGGTTAAAGTTATGTCTATCCTTTCGAGGTTTACAAAATATACCAAGACAGAAGTACAAAAGGACAGATATAAATACGCAACAGTTGGGAGCAGGAGAAGCTGAGTCGGAGAGAGCGGCAGAGTGACTGCATGGCTGCAGCTTAAATGCTCCCCTCTTCTTCAGGTGGACCAATCAGCCTGTTGCAGGTAGCTAATCAGCTAACGGGCACCACCTGCTTGCTCACACACACACACACACACACACACACACACACACACACACACACACACACACACACACACACACACACACACACACACACACACACACACACACACACACACACACACACACACGAGGAGGGAAACATCTCTACACACAATACACAACAACAGACATTACATTACATTACATTGCATTTAGCTGACGCTTTTGTCCAAAGCGACTTACAATAAGTACATTCGACCAGGAAGACACAACCTTGAAGAAAACAGAATCATATAAGTACATCAGGTTTCACAGAGCCAAACATTTCAAGTGCTACTCAACTGGCTTTAGATAAGCCAGTCCTTTATTAGTATAAAAGTGCTTCGTTAATAGTTCTAACGCTCGAAGTGGAGTCGAAAGAGATGAGTTTTCAGTTTGCGCCGGAAGATGTGCAAACAGACCTTTGAGATTAACCCATAACCCACATTCTGGACTTAGACCTGGTAGAGTAGTTTCATCATAACACAGGGTAATAGCGTGTGTTAAAGTGAAGCTGTGTGAAGGTGCAGTTATCACATAGTATCCTGGCTCACTGAGGACCTGGAGCTCATGCCACACTCTTGGATTTTGAGACAACAAAAACCAGGTGAGGCATTAGATTAACTTTACATTTCAACAACTGAACATTTAACTAAACATCTGTTACGCTGTTGGACTGTGGACTATGTTTTTGATACAGGACAATATACTGTTCCAACAGTATGAACAGTAACAAAAACTGTGTAATATGCAGTCTGTAAATCTCACCACAAGTGGGTTCGAAAACTAAAGGCTCACTTTGATCCAAGTTGTGTTCATGTCTAATCTATGCAATATCATAATGCCTATATGTGTTAGTGTTTCAGTTTACTGTGCGTCGTCGGAAAATGCAGAAAATGATATGTCATTATGACAAGTCCACTTTTAGCCACTTAATGCCTGTTTTTTTAATAATAATCAAGGTAGCTTAACCGTTTACCAACCAGCTGCTGAGGAGTTAGTGTTAGGACTACTAAACTATAGTATTTCAAAGTAGAGGAAAATTGGTATTTACATCTCGCTTATCAGTCTGTATAAGGTCCACATTGGTGCATAAAGACCTTTGTGAACCTGTATAAGAACAAGCTAAAGATAGCCCACAGGTAGCAAAAGCACTAGACCACATGGTGAGTGGCAGTAAGGAATAAGAGACATACATTGATGGATCCAAAAAGATACAATTTGATCCTTCAGTGATATGTTTGCTGAACTTCTTTGCATTTTCATTGTCAGTTTTATAATAATAATAATAATACATTTATTTTGGGGGGCGCCTTTCATAACACCCAATGACACCTTACAGGGCATAGGGGCAATATAGGGAACAATTAAAACAGTGGATTTAGTGAAGTATCAGCCGGGGTAAGACAAGACGAACAACAGGAAATTGACTACAAAAGGACACAAAAGGACACAGGGTACAGATTATAAAGACATGGTAACTCATTGCAGAGGACATTGAACTCAATAATGCAGATAACCTTCTGACCCCCCTTTCTCTTGTGGTGCTGGATATCCCCTGCTCCCCACAATGACTTGGCAAGCATTTTGCTTGCATTCCAGTAAATCAGAACTTCACATTTAAGCTACATATTTCTGCTACCTTCAACCACTGTTGTAGGGCGACTGTGGCTGAGAGGGAGTGTGGCCGTCTTTCAACCAGAAGGTTGTGGGTTCGATCCCAGCCCACATGTCGATGTATCCTTGGGCAAGATACTTAACCCTGAGTTGCTCCCGATGGCATGGCAACGGTGTGTGAATGTGTGTGAATGTTAGGTCCGAGAGCAAGTGGTACTGCTCTGTATGAATGGGTGTGAATGGGTGAATGACATGTAGTATGTAAAGCGCTTTGAGGGGTCGTAAAGACTGGATAAAGCGCTATATAAGTACAGTCCATTTACTGTTTAATTGTACCACAATTTAAGACTGTCGTTTTCTTTTGTTTGTCATATTTATGTTTGAACGGACGTGTGCTTTTAGTGAGTTTAACAATTATCTTTATTTCTGTCTGTTGTTTCTCCAAGGAAATGTCCAGCATGATTGCTGTAATCCTGTCAGGAATCTTCTTCCTGTTGCTCAGTCCCACTTGTAGTGGCAGCAAAATCCTAGTAGTGCCCGTTGATGGCAGCCACTGGATCAACATGGAGGTGATACTCCGAGAACTGCACTCCAGAGGCCACAACATCACTGTGTTGCGCTCTGCTAAGAGCTGGTTCATCCCTAGCAACTCCCCCATTTTTACTTCTATTAATGTGACCATGCTGCAAGATGAATCAGATTTGGACTACTACAATAAAATGCTACTAAAAGTTATGGAACGTCGCAGGATGCTAACTTTTTTACGCAGCTTCTACCAACAACACTTGATCACATCCATGTTGTCACAAGGCCATGAGATCCTTTCCAGAGCCTCTGCTACAATGTTGGATAACCCTGTTTTTATGAAGAAAATGCAAGATGCCAAGTTTGACTTAATGTTAACAGATCCCGCTCTGACTACAGGGGTTATTCTGGGTAGTTACCTCAAGCTGCCAATGGTTTTCAATGTGCGCTGGATTAATAATGGGGAGGGCCATTTAACCATAGCTCCCTCTCCTGTCTCCTATGTCCCCGTGTCAGGAAGTGAACTTGATGATCAGATGGACTTCCTGGACAGAACCAAGAACATGTTGCATTATATCTATAGTTCAGTAGAACAGCACTTTTTCATCAACCCTTACTACTCAGATCTGTTCCAGAGGCATTTCCCTCCCGGAACCGACTTACTGTCTTTAGAGCTTGCAGCCGATATGTGGCTCATGAGGACTGATTTTGTCTTTGAGTTCCCACGGCCTACCATGCCCAACGTAGTCTACATTGGAGGGTTCCAGTGCAAAAAGCCCCGTCCCCTCTCTGATGAGCTGGAGGCCTTTATGCAGAGCTCTGGGGAACATGGGGTGGTGGTCATGTCTCTGGGGACGCTGGTGTCAGCACTGCATCGCGAGGCCACAGAGGCCATTGCTGCTGCTTTTGCTCAACTACCTCAGAAGGTGGTGTGGAGGTTTATTGGAGAAAAGCCGTCATCCTTGGGGAACAACACCCTGCTGGTGAATTGGCTGCCTCAGAGAGACCTCCTGGGTCACCCCAAAACTCGTGCCTTTGTAGCCCACGGCGGCACCAACGGCATGTATGAAGCCATTTACCACGGCGTTCCCGTTCTGGGACTGCCTCTCCTCTTTGACCAGTTTGACAACGTACTCCGGCTGAAGGTACGTGGGGCAGCTAGGGTGTTGGAGGCCAATTCACTCACCAAAGAAAACTTCCTAGAGGCTATAACAGACATTCTAGAGACTCCCTCATACCGTGAGAACATACAGCGTCTCTCACGGCTACACCACGATCAGCCAATGTCACCCATGGACACCGCAATTTTTTGGATTGAGTACGTGATCAGGAATAAAGGAGCCGCCCATTTGCAGTCAGTAGGTTTTAGTCTGCCTTGGTATTCCTACTTCAACCTGGATGTGGCTCTTTTATTAATGGCTCTCATTGCAGCCTTTGTCTGGGCTTCAGTCTCTGTGTGTAAGATTCTCTGCTGTCGAAGGTCCAGGAGGAAGACAAAGGCAGAGTAACTGATCGTAACAGGAAATACATATATATATAATCTGATATAAACTGACTTTTATATCACATCAAACATATTACTCATATTTATCAAGATTTCACAGACAGATTAGGTGACAGCTTCCATCTGACTACTGTGAGTTTAGCATCAGTTACACCTACTTCCTGTGTGACACAAAGTCTTTTCACAAAAAGGAACTTACTCACATGGACTGTTGAGACAAATCTTCAAGAAAAGACACTGGAACACTAGATTATGCTATTTCTACTAAACATAGAGCAATATCTGTACAGGGCTCCTACCTTGCTGAATAAATGCATGTTATTACAAACACTCTGCAATGTATTTCATGTGCTCATATACCAAATTAGCATCAATATAATATGTGCATTTTGTCATCGGTCTATAAATGTAAAAATGTATGAATGCTATACTGTACTGTACATTTAAACATATTGTAATGGCAAACGCACTTGAGTGTTATCATGAGATCACTTCCACACACACCAAACACACAATGTGAGATTGGGGTCTACACAATTGTTTTTGAAACAGCTACTTTTGGAAAAGGAACTAAATACCAGGTCAAGCAAGGACCCGAGCACTGAGGAGAAAGAATACTCACTGGTATTCTTTATACAGTAGCATACCATATACTTGTCACTAAACTATAACAGAGATGAAGATGTTTCACCGTGATATAGTCAAAATAATACAAGCCTGTTTGGAATCTTTCAAAGAAAAGTGAACATTGTTGTTGGGTGATTTAGCTAAATAGGGTTGTTTTTCCGAGAAAAGGTTAGAAAAGTCTAAGAGGTGATAACTTTCCATGTATAAAGGGTTGCATAATAACATATAGATTGTGCCCAGAGCCATCTTCGCTTTCATACAGCTTTCTGTAGGACTGTAGTAAATATAAGAAGAAAATTACTTAAAGCTTTAGAAATGATAATATAAGTTATAGCTTTTCTTTGGCAATTATCAGAGAAGTGCTCTGACAGGTGAGTTCGACATTTCCTATACCGTCATAAAGCAAATACAAAAATCACAAAGTCCGTCAGCGATATGGTGATATTTTGGGGGGTGGGGGGGGTAGAAGGATGAAGCAATAAGGTTGTCAGTTTCTTCACTGTGGCGTCCTGTTTGATATTCGTTATGCAGAACTCTGACTATAAAATTGACTCAGAATTGGGCTTATCTTTGCCTAGTACTTCAGTTTGTTGGTGCTCAATGCTGGTGACGTTCATATGACAATGGCTTCTTCCCTATATTTCTATATGCATATTGTATATACAACGCCCTATGCCATGAAAAGATGAAAATGGAGTAGAAAACATTCTGCAACCAGCTTGGTCTAGATTACGCAACGTATATGATGTCTCCCAGCTGAGGCCTTTTTTAAAGACACTAGTTGAGTAGTTGAGTGTGCAACATACAGCTGTTATCTGTCTCTTCCTTCCAATGTGGTCTAGACAGGTCGCAGAGGCCTTAGCGCAATGCTCTGAATTAAATATGGGAAGTCATGTCTAAGAGTACTGTTTAGTTACAATTTTGGATGATTCAATTAAACAGAGATTGGTGACATTTTAAAGGTAACAAAGTGAGTGATTACACCCTCCTCCCTTTAGTACCACAGGGTAAAAATACTGCCTAGCTCCCATTGTCTCAACATAGCCATTCTTACCTAAAACAATTTCAATTGTGCAGAATTGTTTTTGTTCTAGTTGTGCATGAGCAAAGTTCACCCTGGGTCAATTTAAACCCACTCACTCTCCATAAATTCACCACTCATTCACTTTTACGAGAATAAATGTGTTTGTTCTAGCAGGCTGTTTTTGTGTGCTCTATTTCTGTGGTCTTAATCTCATCCGTCAATCAACTCTCCTGCAAGATGCACAAGATAAACATGAAAATCTGAACTCTCTATACAGGAAAATAAATGACGACAGCATAGCAGAATAGTTAATGTGTTTGATGGCACATAGCCAGCGAACGACAATCTAAAGGGCATTAGTGGACGCCGTACATCAGTTCCTTTCCTCACAGCTTATGTCCACCTTAATCATCCTGTTTGGAATAAAATAACTGAGACATGGAGAAAGAGAAAGTATATGTTTTTGTCCTGGGGCAGAAAGGCGTGCTCCTGCCTCAGGATGTTGCTTTTAAAGCTGAAGAAGTAGGTTTCCTGTGGAGGAAACGATCACAGAATAGACTTGGTCCAGACACCGTGTTCCCAGCATTTCTTGATCAAGGTCACCCAGCTGCAGATCAGGCAGCAAGCTTTTATGGAACTAAAGAGGTGAGTGAAAAGTCTTTGTTGGAATTGCACGGTTTAGCTGCTCATGCTGCTGCTGATTTGAGAATGTTCTCTTCTATCTGCAGGTGTTTTATCCCCTGATGGATCCTGGATGCTTTGGAGAATGATTTACTGATACCACGTAAGCTGACCTTTTCCACAGGAGAATACATTCTTGAAAAGTATGCAATTGTCACATACCACATGCAACTGAGACTTTAGCTAGAGCAAATGAATGGGTATTTCTACACCAACTCATCATCCATGTCTGAGTAAGGTCAACTCCAGTTTCCTATGTCAGGTCCTTGACCAACAAAGACATGTCCAACGACAGCTGCGATCTCCCGTTAAACACGGACACATTTGGCCTGACCTGTATCTACGGCCTGATCTTCTCTTTGGGTCTCCCGAGCAACTTGCTATCTCTATGGGGACTGTACCACCTGGGTCGTTCAGGCGGAGGAGGCTGCCAACTGGTCTACATCCTCAACCTGTTGCTGTCAGACCTCCTGCAGCTGCTCACCCTGCCACTCTGGATCCTTTATCTCCAAGGTGGGCACCAATGGCCCTATGGCCAGCTAACCTGCGAGCTGGTGGGATACGTGTTTTACGTAAACGTCTACGCCAGCGTCATGTTCCTGTGCCTGATAGCGCTGGACCGCTTCCTGGCCATCGTGTACCCATTGAGCAGCCGCAGGATACGGACTGTTAGGGTGGCAGCAGGGTCAGGTGTGGTGGTTTGGACCCTGACCTTTCTGTACTGTCTGAGCGGGCTGCTCCCGTCAGTGTTTGACTCAGACAAACTGCTGTGTCTGGAGAAGTACCCCGTCAGCCCCAGATACGCCCACTTCAAGATCACTACCATGGCCCTGGGCTTCATGCTGCCATGTGCTATACTTGGGTGAGTAAATCCTATGTTTTGTAATGTTGTGTTTCAAAACCTGTTCACGTAAATGTTTTGTGGTCAAAATAGTTGACTGTTTCCAAAGTACAAGAACTTCTTGGTGTCTGCACAGTTCAAGTGGTCAAATCTGTGCTTCATCAAAAGGGAAGCCAACTATTTATCATCTTCAAATTGTATTAATACAATAAAAAGTAGTTTCAACTGAAATGAAAACTGATACAATTAACCCAAACCCTAACCCTAACTCGTTTTAGGCAATTGGTACGCTACATGTAGTCTACAAACTATTTTTAAACATCATCCGAGGCGTGTCCCATGTCTCACCTGCACCACCTCTCGGCCTGGGTTTTAAACACTTTAGGGACACTTGGTTGACTTTACTTTAAAATATTTCCCCTCCCTGTGTGCCTACTAACCCGTGTGTATTTTATATTTTACATATTTGTTTTATATTTTACATATTTTATATCTTATTATATTTCATAGTTCTATATATTATGTTTTATATATTTTGTACTTTATGCTATCTTGGAACATTTGGGTTGATGTGATTTTTATTTCACTAAGCACTTTTATGTATTAATTTATCAAACATTTTTTCTCACAAATTTTATCTGCATGCCGATTTTAAACAAAGTCAACCTCTGTACTTTTAGCCAGATGTTTTTAACTTACTTACCAGGATGTTGTGGGACACAACCTCGGACACACCACTGGGGGACACCCGGCAGGAGCACAGGTTTGAACCCTGCCACACACGCTCTGTGCTTCAGCCGCTGGTCTCTTCCATCACTTTTATTGCATTTTCTTTATTTAATTACATTTTTTTAACACAGACCAAACAGGGCTTTTATAAAGTTCTATTGGTTTTATTGCAGGAGTTTTTAAAAAGGTTTTTAAACACAAATATTTATCCGAGAGCCCGTGCACCACGCTGTGCTCCTATGGAGCACCGCACATTCCCCAAGACCCTAACCCTAACTCGTTTTAGGCAATTGGTACAATGTCCATGGGGAACATATAATTATTTTGTGAAGTCTAAGTCTTTTAATATGCAACTCTGCTTCCCTTTAGCTACACATCAGCCCACATTGGGGTGACACTCCGACGATCTCCTTCCCTGTCTGACCATGAGCGGCACAAAATCGTGGGCATCCTAGTCGTGATCACCATCAACTTCATTGTTGTGTTTGGACCCTATCACCTCGTGGGCGGATACAGATTTGTATCCTTTCTGCTGACAGATGAGCCATGTGGATTTGAGCGGTCCATATTCCTCGTCTATCGTCTGTGCTACGGTCTGGCCAGCCTCAACACCCTGCTGGATCCCCTCTTCTACATCTTCCTGTGCCCTGATGCCCGGCTAGAGCTGCAGAGATCCCTGCCCTGTTTGGGAAGGGGGCAAAACTCCCGCAAAAAGATTATCTTCAGTACCAGAGCCCAACCAGACAACAAGATAGAGACTGCAACTGGACATAATAATCTTCTAGGAGTATAGCTTGGATTCAACTATAGAGCTGACTCAAAGCAAGTGTGCCACCCAGTGGAAGAGCATGATCACAGTGTTGTTACTTTTTAATTTAGTCTTTTTTTATTCAGTTCAGTTAAGAGTTTCAAATCCAGTCTTTTGTGATTTTCCATACCCATTGTCACCTTACATTACATAAAACATATAAGGCCATAATACATACAGTTTCTGATTAATCTATGAACTACATTTGCTTTCTAGCCAGTGTATGGAAATAGACCAACGAAGTTATTTCACATATTTGTTACTGTCATTTAAACAACGAATACATATTCATGCTTCGTGACTTGTTTACGCTCAGGCCTTTCAAAAAAAGAATTGGTGTGAATCACTACGGAAACACGAGCATGGCTGTGGATATATCATTACAAGATCTGTCTTTTCTCTTTTTTATTTATGTTTATATGTCAAAGCATTAAAACAAAGGAATTACATGTGCAGAATGCAATAATGGACAATTAAGATATATTTTCCTTATTATAAACACATAAGAGCATAGTCTAACTCTAAAGTGTTGCTTGTGTCATTTCCTGCTGCTACTGATAACATCTAGCAGGAGACACCTTATGTTTCCGTGACCCATAGTACAAACTGTTTGTACCAAGTGATAAAGTGATACAAATTAACATATTTAGCAAGCATTCAAGTAAAAATAAGACAATAATTCAGAACCCTGTATGTAATTGTGGAGGTTAAGAAATGCCCTATAATCACAAGTGTAAGTATTCAGTACTGACTGTAGAGTAATGCTTAATAAATCCTTATACTTTCTGTATTATAAAGATGTATTTATCAGTCAGATAAAACTAAAAGTTTGAACAAATTGTTCACACACTTGAAGTACCATGCATTTCTAGACTAAAAGCCAGTATTCATAAATTGTTAAATATAGCAGTGTTTGTTGCCATTGCATACAAATACATCTACAAAAACTTGGTAGAAAGCATTGAGGACGGATTTAAAATGTAAAAGCACATGTTACACTTCTTATAATGTAAATTGCAACATCACTTAATCAGAACAACAACAGTCCAATGGATTTGACTCTACCTTTTGAAAAATAATGATAATTTAATCAGCACTTTCTGCTGATTTTTCAAAAATAAAAGCCTGCCAAGAGCTAAAGCAATTAACCATTCAATTGGTTAATTGCATTTCAATTTAATGATGATCTATTGATATTTATTTGATTTATTATGGGTATTTGTTCATTATTCATTAACTTTTCATTTAATTCCAGCATGTTGTCATGACTTGTGAATAAATATCAGTATTAGTGGTAAAATAAAACCTGCTTGCTATCCATCTCGACAAGGCTAGCTACAAAATTCCGTTTCTAGATTATGTTTTAATTTGAGACATTTGTGCAAAAGTATCAACTGTAGTTTAACCTTGAAAAAAAAAAGAAGCTATCCAAGTGGAAGTTACGTAATTAGGCATCGACTTGAGGTGAAAGGAAACTGTATTACCAGCGGGAGTATAAAGGACTCTTTTGTTGTACTGACGAGAGTGATGCTTTGTAAAATGATTAACAATTAAGAGGTATAAGAAACAGCCTCAAAGGGAATTTTAAACTATAGCACACGAAAAACAACAAATAAAAGGCCTGTCTATAGGCCTCATTCAAAAAAAGTTAGAAAAAAGAGTAGGGATACTATAAGAACATTTACTACTTTCAGACCATTCTGCATTTAGCAGGATTCCTATTCTTCTCTGTGATCCTCTGCTTTCAGACACAAGGCTGTAAGAGCATTCGGCTTCAACACAATCTCGGTGGTGCTGATGGAGGTGTGAGCGGTGTTGCGGCGTCGGGCCAGTTCTGCCAGATCCTCAGCCAGAACATTCTCCATCACCGCGCTCAGAGAGTGTCTAATCTTCTTGCATAGGTCAGGGCAGCTGAACACGTACAAGATCGGGTTGAGGACACTGTTAAGGAAGCCGATGGTTGCTGAAATTGGGAGGGCCCTGCCTGCGAATATCTGCGCAGGATGTCCAGTGGGTGCCATCACCTCTACGATGATGAAGATGTGGTACGGAGCCCAGCAGAGGACAAAGCTAACCACCACAGCAATGACCAGCCGAACAAAACGAAAAGGACGTCGGGAGCCTCTGCGCACCAAGCCGATGTTGACGGCAGTATAGCTCAGGACGATGATCAGTAAAGGGATCAGGAAGGACAGAAAGAGCCTCATAAAGGTCAAGGCCTCCTTGCGCTGATTACACAAATGTACAAGATCAAAAGGTTCAGCAGGTAGGAGTCGAGCGAAATTGTAGTAACACAAGATCTTGCCGTTAGGGAGGGCATAGGTGTCACGGAATATGTAGAAGGGAACCGTGAAGAGCACAGCCAAGGCCCAAATCACCCCACAGACCTTCCCCACGAGCTGGACGTTCCTGTAGTTCTGCGCCCAGACCGGTCTCAGCACAACCAGGCAGCGGTCCATAGAAATGGCCGCCAGCAGGAAGCCACTGACAAACATGTTGAGGAAGAACATGGCGGAATGGATGCGGCAGAAGGTCGTGCCCAATGTCCAGGTGTTTCCGCGGGCCATGTAGAGGGTGAAGAAGGGTAGACAGGCGGTGGCCAGCAGGTCGGAGGCTGCCAGGTTCAGGATCCAGATGCTGAGGACAGAGCGGCGGACCTGGAAGCCCACTACTCCGAGGATGAGGACGTTCTCTATGATGCCGATGGAAGAGAACAAGCCATGGAGTGAAATGGTGAACATGTTCAAAGAGGTCATCGAGGACGTTTGGTTTGATAGGGTATGAAGGCTGAGGTTTGCATCCTGGCTGACATGACAGTGCATCTTGAAGGAAAATGTCTTGGTGTTTTGATGAGCTGATGTCCTTTAGCTTGGGCTTTTGACTTCACACTGGTGATCTAAAACAGAGAGAGACATTATGAGACTCAGAGCTTATAGGGAAGTTTGAGCTCTTGGAGACTTAGTTCAAGGTAGTTCTATAAGAATACATTATCAGTTTCATTGAGTTGCGAAATCAGTTGAAGTTGTTCCTGACAAGAGAAGTATGCATTCTCCAACGCAGCAGTTTTTCATGCTTCAACACATTTACATATGCTTCTCTAACACAAGCAGAGGTGAGAGGAACTTGAATGTGTGAAGTTTTGCAGCTGGCTGTTGCATGCAAATGAGGTTTCATTTGAATCGGTTATGAAACCTATTTAATGACTCCTGTATGTAATTAAAGGTTAATCAACAATCCATTAAGGCTTTATTAATCAGTAATAAGAGTTGAATTAGAAAGATATTTGTGTTGTTACTTTAAAATCAAAGCTGAGCTTATAGCATTATTACTTGGCTATAGTGCATTAATACATTATTAATTAAATATATATTTATGTTAAATCAATATAACCAAACAAACAGCCAAACAAAATTAAAATATAAAATAAACAAGTAACCACCGGCCTGGTATCCATGTTTTCTTGGAAAATTATAAATTCACTTTTTATGTGTGAATCTTAAGTTGAAGAGATACCTTTTTTCCCTGTTTAAACCCAGTTGTGTTTGCAGTCTGTGTTGGATCTGTATTTCTTTGCATTCTTATATTTTCCATTGCCCACATCTAGGGATCTATAGGGATCTATAGGGATCATCTAAAATGTATCGATTCCGATTCTGCTTATCGATTCCGGTTCTTATCGATTCCCCGTTTCGATTCCAAAATTGTAAAATAAAGAGTTCAAATGTTTAGATAACAAAAATATCTTTATTCTTTTAAGCTGACATTTTTACAAATAAAAAAAATACATGCAATACAAATGTATTACACAATAGCTGTGCTTTATTTTAACTGAGGTAGCAGCAGGAAACCTACTGACATCATATAAGTCCTGTTCGAGAAAGGAAAAAGTCAGTCCGAGCAACAATAGGGGCCAAATGCTTCAACTAAAGTGCATTCAGTGCACAACACCTGGCTATTTTAAAGATGCATCTCAACAGTTCTTGTTAAGCAAAATCAGCCTTTTCTGGTAGTATGCATACGTTTTATAACAGTACCTGGCTTTTACTGTACAAGTACCCTACTATCGGGTACACACCTTGCATACCTAAATGACGGAGCTTCGACAACCGATAAGGGATGTAGCCCTTTGACAACAAATGCTGTTACCGCTCTGTGACACTCCTCCGTTTTTTCTTTGGTCAGCTTTCCTTTTAATGCCAAAGAGAACGGTGTGTCGTGGCTAGCTGTACCTGGCACTTCTGGACATGCAGGCGGCGGGGTACTAGTGCTGGCTATTGATGCCATACTCGGGCTCGGAGACCGCAAGCCATCAAAGACTGTACATTCTTTCATCTCGATGCCGTGCTGTCTTAAATGTTTGCTTAAATTAGAAGTGCAACCTGACGTACAAGCTATTAACTTGCCACAGGCATTGCACTTCTTTTTTAGTGTAGTGGAGCCACACTTTAGAGCGTTTACCGCGATCCATCTTTGGTGTTATGAAGTGACTGACATGCTGGTATCTAAACAAATCAAACCACACGCTGCTGTTCCCTTGATGCGTGACATCGTCCTGTTACTACAGGTCCTTACAGATAGCTACGTAGCCTTAGCCTACGTCCATGCAGATATGTAGGCTTTGTTTGCAATACTAAAGGGTTAGTCAACCGCGTTTAGGAACCGTTAATCAGAACCGAAAATACTGTACTTTTTATGGGTACCCGGGAGTGGCCTGCACGGGTCTGATTTTCAAGACCCGCTCCCGCTCCGCACCCGCAACGTGCAATACCGAACCCGCCCGCTACCCGCACATATTGCCAATTAGTTTCGCAACCCGACCCGTCGGCACAAGATCCGCAACCCGACCCGAACCCGCATATATATGCAGTGAAAACGTGCAATTATTAACACACGCAGTTGCATATTTGTCTCAAAAAGCGTGGGATGTTGCTTATTTTCTCCATCTAGGACAGTGTTTCTCAAACTTTTTCATACCAAGGACCACTTAACCAATAAAAAAACACTCGCGGACCACCTAACTCCACAAATATCCAAAAACACATAGTTTTTTACAAATCGCCTGAAAATGGTACAAACAAGTGGCCACATGTGTGATGAAGGTGATTATCTGGGCTATATCATGCAATCGAAAGTGAAACTTAAGCTCACTCCATTGCGGAGATATTCCCGCG